GTGGAAGCCATGGAGCCCTTTTCCCCAAATATTTTTTTATTGATTTTTTAGAGAGAGGGGAAGAGAGGGAAACATCGATGTGAGATGTGAGAGCAGAATAACTGCATGCTCCCTACCGGGGATCAACCCTGCAACCCAGACTGGACACACAGCCTCACCACAGCTGTGTTTGACGGGGAGTCAAACCAGTAACCTTTCAGTGCATGGGGTGACACCCAACCCACTGAGCCACACTAGCCAGGGCAAGCCATGGAGCCCTTTGACCTGTGGGCCCTCTGATGTCATGGAGGACAGAGGTGTAAGAGCTAAGATCTGTCTGGGGCTCAGAGTCTGGCTTGCTGATTGCCAGCTCTGTGGCTGTAGTGAGGGGCACGGTCTTCTTGTGTCTTTGTGTGAGTTAAAGTAGCTGCTGGATCAGACAGCATATGGTAGCTTTTCCTCACTCACGTGGGGTCAGCAGGGAGCTCCGTGCCACATGGTTTTCAGGGACCCGTGTGGGTTCTGTCGTCAGTGTGTGGCTGTCAGGCTGTCTTGACATCCTTGAGCTGGCAGAGGAGACCGGAGAGAGGAAGGGAGGATGTCACACCCCCTCCCACAAACACCAGTTCCCCTCACATCCCATTGAGGCGAACGAGGCGTTTGGACACCTGGGTGTGGGGCTGGGAGTGGTGGAGAGGCTGTGTGTCCGTCCAGTCTGAGCCGCCGAGCATTTGTTGAGTTGAGTGTAGTCTGCTACACTCGGTCCGTCCCAGGAAGATGCTAGTAAAAATGGTGTTTTTGTCCTTGGGTTGTTTGGGGTGTAATCACGTAATGCATTAATGCCTAAAACTGCTCAGCACAGTGTCTGAGACAGAGAAAGTGGCTCATGAAAAGCAAGCTATTGGCAGTATTTGTTGCATCAATTGAGAGAATCGTGTTGCCTTTCCCCTCCCATTTTGTTAATGTGTATCAATCACACTGACCAATTGTCATGTGTCAAACCATCCTTGCATTACAGGAATAAACCCCGCGTGGCCATGGTGTATGGTCCGTTAAATACGCCACTGCATCTTAGTTCGCCACTCTCTAGTTGAGGATTTTTGCATCAGTTTTCATGAGAGATATTGTTTTATCTGCAGTTTTGTTTTCTTCTAGTGCGTTAGCTTTATTGTCATGATATTAATAGTCTGAGAATGAGCTTAGACGAGCCTGAGAAGGATTGGTATTAGTTCTTTAGAAATGTTTGGTAGAATTCGCCAGTAAAGTTACCAGGTCCAGTGTTTTATTTTGTTGGGAGATATTTGGTTAGTAAATCCAATCTCTTTAATTATTATAGGTCTATTCATATGTTCTATTTCTCCATGAATAGGTCTTGGTAGGTTTTGTGTTTTTTGGAATTTGTCCATGCCACTTAGGTTATCCATTTTGTTGGTGTACAGTTGTTGGTAGTATTGTGTTTCAGAAGTTCTTTTTTTGTTGTTTATTTTAGGTTTTCTAGCTCTTTATTGATATTTCCATTTTGTTTAGACATATTTTTCTTTATTTTCTCCATATCTTCAGTTCTTTGAACTTCTTTAAGATGGTCTCTTAAATATTTTATTTATTTAATTTATTATTATTATTTTAAGACTAAAGCAGCTGGTATTCCCAGGTGATTTCCCATCCAAGTACTAACTAGGCCCGACCCTGCTTAGCTTCTGAGATAAGACAAGATAGGGTACGTTCAGACAAGATGATCTTTATTTTCTCCATATCTTCAGTTCTTTGAACTTCTTTAAGATGGTCTCTTAAATATTTTATTTATTTAATTTATTATTATTATTTTAAGACTAAAGCAGCTGGTATTCCCAGGTGATTTCCCATCCAAGTACTAACTAGGCCCGACCCTGCTTAGCTTCTGAGATCAGACATGATAGGGTTCGTTCAGACAAGATGGTTTTTAAAAGTCTTTGTCTAGTACAGCGGTTCTCAACCTGTGGGTCGCGATCCCTTTGGGGGTCGAACGACCCTTTCACAGGGTTCGCCTAAGACCATCGGAAAACATATATAATTACATATTTTTTTGTGTGATTAATTACTATACTTTAATTATGTTTAATTTTTAACTGAAATTGGGGGTCACCACAACATGAGGAACTGTATTAAAGGGTCGCGGCATTAGGAAGGTTGAGAACCACTGGTCCAGTAGGTCTACATCAAAGTGTTTTTCAGAGTCTTTGGAGGGATTCCAAACATGCGTTTCCTCGGGGACTCATTAAACTCCCTAGTGTTGATGTTGATGATACATGCATGAAGTATTTCCAACCTAGGGTTTCACCTGGCTTCAGGGTCCAGAATTTTACTGACTTATTTCATATGCACAGTTGATTGACTAATTACCTTACATGACACCGTCTCCTGCCCCCCTCTTTTTCCAGAAGCCCTGTTGTTATCATATAGCTCAGTGTCCCAACCCTCTAAGCATATGGTTAGTCTTTCTAGCATGGCTAGGCCTTGCCCTGAGTCATCTCTTCGGCATAAACTATATAGGGGCCCGAGTGAGTTACCTGTTGGCATAAATATCCTCTCTGGAGTTGACTGTTTCTTCTCATCACTCCGCCCTGTAACCCAGCTACTTCCCTTTGTCTCCCATTCAAGGTGTCCATAGTCCAGGCACTAGAAAAGAAAAAAATTGCAGTCCTTGTATTCAGAGGTAAAACAAGCAGAGACAGAAAGCACTATTTTCACCTTTTTTTAAATCACTGAAATGGTGGGGAATGTGTGTGTGTGTGTGTGTGTGTGTGTGTGTGTGTTGGCATTACTAACAGGCCCTGTTGTGCGTTGGATTTCTTTTAGGTGAGAAGGGAAAAGCTAGAATCACAGAACCCACTACATGTGAGCTTGCCCTGTCTGAGAGAGCCTCACTTCTGGAGCAGCTAACACAAGGAGCTGAATCCCCAGAAGACTTCCAGGTGGATCAAACCACGGATCAGAATGGGCCATTGGGAGTGCGAGAGGGACAGTGGGAATCAGGGATAGACCTGCGGAAGGAGAAGCTTCCTAGGAAATCCCGCTCTGAACATGGCGGCTGGGGGACAGCGGAGGGTGTGCGTGCCCCTGCCTTGCGAGCTCTCCTGGAGCATGGCTCATGCAGATTCGGTCAAGATCACATGACTCGGGAAGACGAAAGTATCTTCAAATGCAATGAATGTGGGAAAGTGTTCAACAAGAAACGCCTCCTGGCTCGACATGAGAGGATTCACTCCGGAGTGAAGCCCTACGAATGCACAGAGTGTGGGAAAACCTTTAGCAAAAGCACTTACCTCCTTCAGCACCACATGGTCCACACAGGGGAGAAGCCATATAAGTGCATGGAGTGTGGGAAGGCCTTCAACCGCAAGTCACACCTGACACAACACCAGCGGATTCACAGCGGAGAGAAGCCCTATAAGTGCGATGAATGTGGCAAGGCCTTCACCCACCGCTCGACTTTCGTCCTCCATAACCGGAGCCACACTGGAGAGAAGCCCTTCGTGTGCAAAGAGTGTGGAAAAGCCTTCCGAGACAGGCCAGGTTTCATTCGGCACTACATCATCCACAGCGGCGAGAACCCCTATGAGTGCTTCGAGTGTGGGAAGGTCTTCAAACACAGGTCCTACCTCATGTGGCACCAGCAGACTCACACCGGGGAGAAGCCCTATGAGTGCAGTGAGTGTGGGAAAGCCTTCTGCGAGAGCGCGGCCCTCATCCACCACTACGTCATCCACACGGGGGAGAAGCCCTTTGAGTGCCTCGAGTGCGGGAAGGCCTTCAACCACAGGTCGTACCTCAAGAGGCACCAGCGGATCCACACCGGGGAGAAGCCTTTTGTGTGCACGGAGTGTGACAGGGCCTTCACCCACTGCTCCACTTTCATCCTGCACAAGAGGGCCCACACTGGGGAAAAGCCTTTCGAGTGCAAGGAGTGTGGCAAAGCCTTTAGCAATCGGGCCGACCTCATCCGGCACTTCAGCATCCACACTGGAGAGAAGCCCTATGAGTGCGGTGAGTGTGGGAAGGCCTTCAACCGCAGGTCAGGCCTCACGAGGCACCAGCGGATTCACAGCGGAGAGAAGCCCTATGAGTGCATGGAGTGTGGGAAAACCTTCTGCTGGAGCACTAACCTCATCCGACACTCCATCATCCACACCGGGGAGAAGCCCTATGAGTGCAGTGAGTGCGGGAAGGCCTTCAGTCGTAGCTCATCCCTCACCCAGCATCAAAGGGTTCACACTGGGAGAAACCCAGTCGGTGTAACCGAAGTGGGAAGACCCTTCGCCAGCGGACAATCCTCAGTCAACCTCCAAGAACTCCTGTTGGGGAAAGACTTTTTGAATGTAAACACTGTGGAGAATGTTTTGCCAGAAGAATCACCGTACGCAGACTCTAATCATTCATACCAAAGAGAAACCCCGGGGTTGTCTTCCCTGTGAAAAACCCGTTGCCAGATGTCAGTGGTCTTCTCGTGAGTCATGTTGGAAACCGACCCCGCCTGGAGCCTTATTCTACGTGTGGGAGTTTATTCAGGAGACAGACCCGGCGGTTATCAGGCACTTAGAAAGCTTCCCACTCTGTCTTTCTCCTTAGTTTACACGGCAGTGTTATCTCAGGAATTTCTTCTTTAAGAAGAAGGGAGAGACTCGGAAGGGAAAAGGAACTACCCCCAGTTTCTTCAGACTCTGGCCACACCTGTGGCACTTGGTCATGGATTTCTTAGTCTCTCTGGCAGGAGGAGAGTGTTGTGTGAGAGGTGAAGGACTAGGGTCTATGTATGTGTCTCGTACATACACTCACTGCTGTCCATTGTCCAGAAAGTAGACAGTTGAAGGCAGGTCTGAAAACTTTCAATGAACATCCTTGTTCTAAAACATTGTCTGTATTCTTGAAGAAGAAAAAAAAAATCCTTACCCAAGGACATGTTCCCATTACTTGTAGAGAGGGGTGGGGGGGAGAAACCCCTAGCGGTTGCCTGCCAGACACACCCCAACCAGGGATCGAACCTGCAACCTAGGCATGTGCCCTGCCTGGGAATTGGACCCACTGTCTTTCAGTGTATGGGGCAGTGCTCAACCAACAGCCACGCCAGCAGGCCACTGTCTCTACTCTTAAGGAGTTTAATTTTTTTGAGACATATGAAGGCTTGAACATAAATACTTTTTTGTTTGAGGGGATTTGAGTACACGTATGGACAGTCACATTTTATTGCACCAGGTAACACGGGGTTAAGGCTTTGCTTTTTAAAGAACAAAATGGTTCTTTAAATGTGAAGACGTGGTTTTAAAGACCCAGTACCTGGACATTTTTTGGTTCTGTACTGTTGGTTGACTTGATGGCTATAGTTAAATGGTAAATTTTTTAAATTGAGTAAAGTGATTCTTTTATCCACATTTTTTTTATTTGAAACTTATTTATCACTCCCACTTTAATATCTATATAAAGTTTTAGATATACTTGATTTTTTTTTACCCCCAGAATAGCAAGTTTTGATAGAAATTGAGTTAAATTGGCAGGTGGATCAATTTGTTGAGAACAGGCATCTTGACTGCGTTGAGTCTTCCAGTTATTTAACATGGGGTGTGTCTGTATTGCAGCATTGTTTATCTCCTTACTGTTTTATGAAGGTCAATAGCAGGTCTTGTCCAGTTTTTATCGGTCTTTGGTATTATACAGATCATTTTTGGATGTTATTCTGGCATCCTGCAAACTTTCTGAACCGTAACCATTTACGTGTTAGAATGCTTGGGATTTTTCTACAAAGGAAAATAGGGGTAGTTATTATTTTTTCTTCTCCTCTGCATTTCCTCTTCTTTTTCCTGTCTTGCTGCACTTGCTGGGATTTCCAATAAAATGTTGAGTAGAAGTAGTGAGAAAGATGTTCTTGTTGGCCCCTCATATTAGAGGGGAAACACTCCGTTTTTCATCATTAAGTCTGATGTTCGTCTTAGGGTTTCTTCATAGAGGGTTCTGACCGAGTTCAGAAGGTGTCCCATGTTCCTCATTTGCTGAGGTTTTTTGTTATCTTGAACGGGTGTTGAATTCTGTCAAATGCTTTTTCTCTCTTAGTTGATATAAGCATGTTTGTTTGTTTGTTTCTGTAGCCTGTTGGTATATTTTAAATATTTTTTCTTTTCTTTTTTTCCCATCGCCATTTACCCTATACCCTCTTCCACTTCCCCCAGCCACACACTCCTCACCGCCGTTTTAAATATCGAACCAGCTTTCTATCCCTGGAATGAGCCCTACTCGGTCATGGCGTCTAATTGTTTTTATGTATTACAGTATTCAGTCTGCTGATACTTTTACTGAGGAAGATTTCCTCTATTTTCACAAGAGACAACAATATTTAGGTTCTTTTCCTTATTTCCGTTCTTTGGTTTTGCTTGTTTGGTTTTCTGTACTGTCTGTCCGTGCCTGGTCGGGGTGTGCGGGTGATTCCGCCTCCCGGCCGGTGCCGAAGGCTGCTCCTCCTCCTGTTGTTTAGAAGACCATGCGTAGAATTGACTTTACTTGTTCTTTTAACGTCGGCAGCTTCTCCAGAGAGTCGTTTAGTCCTGGGGGCTATTCTTCTGGATGCTTTTTAACTAGGTATTTATTTTATTTAATACGGATAGAGCTATTTAGAGTATCTATTGCATATTGGATGAATTTTCATTGTCCTTTTCTAGGGATTATTCTACTCCATGTACATTTTTTATTTGCTTCAAGTATTCTTTTATTGTTATTTTGGCAGTAGAATTTGTTTATTACCCTGTTCTATTCCTGATATTGAAATCTTTCAACTCTTTATTTTGTCAATCTTCTTAGTACTTACCGCTTTTTTTATCATTTCAAAGAACCAGCACTTTATGTCGGTGTTTGCTTGTTACCTTTCTGTTCCTAATTTCACCGATTTCCTGATGTTCAGTGTATTCTTTTTTCTACTCGCGTTGCTTGTGTTTTCCTCTAGTTCCTTGGGGTGGATACTGAGGTTATTAACTTGAGATTATTTTTCTATTGTAAGCATTAAATTCTATCATTTTCCCCCAGTGCACTGTTTTAGCTTCGTCTCACAAGTTTAAATACATTTTAATTACATTTCATTCAGTTCTAAATATTTCTTCGTTCAAGACTTCTTCTCTAAACCATGGATTATTTACAAAGTATGTTGTTGACTTTTTAAATGTGTGGCATATTTCATGCTCTTTTTCTAAAATACTTTTTTATTGATTTTTAGAGAGAAAGGGAGAGGGATAGAGAGAGAGAGACATCAAGTAGCTGCTCCTGCCCGCCCCCTGCTAGGGATCGAGCCCTCGACCCAGGCATGTTCCCTGATGGGGACTCGGACTGGCAACCTCTTGGTTCATGGGTTGACACTCAACCACTGAGCCGCACCGGCCGGGCTCACACTCTCCTTTTGTTGATTTCTAGGTCATTGTGTGTGTGACATGGCTGTTTAAATTTGCTGTGGGTTTTATCACCCGTTATATAGTCTATCTTGATGAATCTTCTGTACGGCTGCTTGAAGAAAATGTGTTTCCTACTGTTGGCTGGAGTTTCTTTAAATGTCTACACAGTCCTGTTGGTTGATGGTGTTATTCAGATTTTCTAGATCCTTGCTCACTTTCTGTATAGTAGTTCAGTAGTTGAAAGGCGGGTATTGAAGTCCTGCAGTGTAATTGTGGAATTGTCTGTTCCTCCTTTAAGTTCTATCAGTTTTTACTTCATGTATTTCAAAGCTTTGTTGTTTGATGCATACACATTTAGGATCGCTATGTCATCTTGGTCCATTGCCCCTTTCACCATTGTGTAATACCCCTTCTTGCCCTGTACATTTGCTTTGACATATACTTTAAATGATATTAATATAGCGCCTGGTGCACTTTTTGGTTAATATTCGCATGGTTTATATTTTTCCGTAATTTCATTTTCAACCTTATCTGTATATCATCACATTTAAAGTTAAGTTTCTGTGAATAGCATATACTCGGGTCATGCTTTCTTTTTATCCACTTTACTAATTTCTGGTTTTAAATTGATATATTTAGACCATTTAAATTTTTTAAAAAATATATTTTTATTGATTTTTTTTTACAGAGAGGAGGGGAGAGGGATAGAGAGCTAGAAACAACCATCAGCTGCCTGCACACCCCCTTCTGGGAATGTGCCCACAACCCAGGTACATGCCCTTGACTGGCATCGAACCTGGGACCCTTCAGTCCGCAGGCCGACGCTCTACCCACTGAGCCACACCAGTTAGGGCCAGACCATTTAAATTTAAAATTATTTTCGATATGTTAGGGCTTAAGTCTCCCATTTTATGATTTTGCTTTTGTTTCCTTCTTGTTGCTCCCTGTTGTTGTGTTGGCTTCCTGTGGTTACTTTGATTTTGAGAATTCTGTATGACACATCTTTGATGTGGCTGAGTATATCCCTCTGTGTTGTACCCCTCACTCTAGGTATTGTATTGTATGTACGTGACATCACAGCTACAACATCAACATTTGAGCCCTTTGATGTGTAGAAACCTTATTTTCATTGGGTCCCTTCACACTCCCCATTCTTTCTTTCTTTTTTTCGTCCTATCCCTCTGGCCACAATCTTGGGACCAGAAGGGTATATACAAAGTCACCGTACACTCCGCATGCTTTAAAATAACTGTCTTAAGCATTTTCAGACACTGATCATCCTACTTGGTGATTGGCTTGTTCCACCTCTCGAACCATTTTTACAAACCTCGTGAGAAGCTGCCTGTTCACCTTCACTTTTACCCATTCCGTGTGCTTTCCTTTTTCCTGAAATCCCACGGTTCCTCCTGTTAACGTTTCCTTTCTTTTCCACCAACTCTATCCCTTCTGGGGTAGGTCTTCCTGATAACAAATGGTTTCGTTTTTCTTCATTTAAAAATGTCACCCTAACCTGTGTGGCTCAGTGGATAGAGCGTCGGCCGGCCGACTCAAGGGTCCCAGGTTCGATTCCGGTCAAGGGCATGTACCTGGGTTGCGGGCACATCCCCAGTTGGGGGTGTGCAGGTGGCAGCTGATCGATGTTTCTCTCTCATTGATGTTTCTGGCTCTCTATCCCTCTCCCTTCCTCCCTGTAAAAAATCAATAAAAATATATATATTTTAAAAAATGTCGTTATGCGCCCTTTATTCTCCAAGGATGTTTTTGTGGGATCTACTTTTTTATTGATTTTTTACAGGGAGGGAGGGAGAGGGATAGAGAGCCAGAAACATCAATGAGAGAGAAACATCGATCAGCTGCCACCTGCACACCCCCAACTGGGGATGTGCCCGCAACCCAGGTCCATGCCCGTGACCGGAATCGAACCTGGGACCCTTGAGTCGGCCGGCCGACGCTCTATCCACTGAGCACACCGGTCTCGGCTACTTTGACTACTTTAAAAGCATGTTGTTTCCTGTCTCCCTGGGTCTCCGGTGCGGAATCTGCTGCCACTGGACCCACGGCTCCCCTCTGCAGTGCCCCTCTCTGCCCAGCTGCTTTCAGAGCGTCTTTGTCTTTGCCCGTAACGTCCAGGCGTTTTGTTAGGGTGTCACCTGGCATGAAGTGTGGGAGGGCTTATGCTGTGTGTTTGGTCGGCTTTGTGAACCTGTTGGTGTAGGCCCTTTGCCAAATGTGGGAACTTTGTAGTTATTAATTCTCCAAATCCTTTCTTCAACCCCACACTCTCTCCTTCGTTGTTGGACATGTCCAACATCCAAGATGACAACATGCTGCCACCCTGTAAAAAATCAATAAAAATATATATTTTTTAAAAAATGTCGTTATGTGCCCTTTATTCTCCAAGGATGTTTTTGTGGGATCTAGGAATTGGGATCGGCACTTTGACTACTTTATGTTGTTTCCTGTCTCCCTTGGTCTCCGCTGCGGAATCTGCTGCCACTGGACCCACGGCTCCCCTCTGCAGTGCCCCCTCTCTGTCCAGCTGCTTTCAGAGCGTCTTTGTCTTTGCCCGTAACGTCCAGGCGTTTGGTTAGGGTGTCACCTGGCATGAAGTGTGGGAGGGCTTATGCTGTGTGTTTGGTCGGCTTTGTGAACCTGTTGGTGTAGGCCCTTTGCCAAATGTGGGAACTTTGTAGTTATTAATTCTCCAAATCCTTTCTTCAACCCCACACTCTCTCCTTCCTTTTGGGGACTTCAGTGACGTGCACAGTAGATCTCTTGTTTTTGCCCCTGAGTCCTTCAGGCTCGCCTCTACATCCCCCCCCCCCATCTGTTTTTCCCTGTTGCTCAGGCTGATTAATTCCCTTTTATCTTTCTTTCAGCTCCCTGATTTCTTTTCTCTCTCATCTAATCCATGGAGCTCACCCAGTGAGTTTGCATTTTGCATTTTTCCATTGTCTAATTTTCGTTTGGTCCTCTCATACATCTTCTCTTTCTTTGCTCGTTCATAAAGCCAGGGAAGGACTCCGAGAACACAGGCCAAGCCGCAGTAGTCCAAGGTCATGGTCCTCGGGAGAAACGGAAGGCCTGGAGTCCCCCGTGTGGGTGTCCGTCCACAAGTATTTCTTAAGAACAGTACGACTAGAGACGATCGGCTGAGTGTCCAGAGCTGTGCTCGCCAGGAAAGCTTTCTGTGGAACCGCCCCCGTCCCCGCCCCCAGCTCTTTAAACCCTGTTCTAGCCTCAGAGGAGAAGGCGTCAGTCCTCTTCCAGGATCGTCCTTCCCTCTCGGGCTGAACACGTGCCACGTCTCCCCAGTTGGTCTAAGGCCTCCGCTTGCTTTTACGCCCCCACTGCTTGGTCTTTAACGTTTCCCTCTTTACCCGCTTCTAGCCTCGTAATCGATGCCCGCGTTCAAGTCCCTTTCTGCCCACATGCCCGTTGAGCTCTGCCCGTCTCCCTTCTCTCTCTCACACACATTCTGTGTCGCTGTTGTGTCCACTTCTACCCCCACCTCCTCCCATCCCTTTCACTCCACTGACAGCTGGGGAGTGGAATGGTGGCTATCGCCCTGGCCTCTGTGGCTCAGTTGCTTGGGTGGCCTCCGGTGCACCAGGTTGCTGGTTTGATTCTGGGTCAAGGGCACATGCCGAGGTCGCGGACTCGATCCCCAGTAGGGGGCGTGCGGGAGGCAGCCGATCGATGTTGCGCTCTCACGTAG